ATTATTATTATTAGTATTATTATTGTTTTCCATATGACTATATCTAGGATTCTTGTATATGTGTATGTATATATAATATTTTTTGAAACTGGCAATTACTATAAAATTTTTAAACTAGGTGGATGGAGAGCGAAAGGGGGAAAGGGGATAAAGGGCTAAAGGGAAAGATTCTTGTAATATTATATTATTCCCATAAAGACAACATAATTTCTCATTTTCTTAGCTTTTTGTTTTTTTGGCTGGTATTGTCATTTTCTTTTTATTCACGTACAGGAGTGCGTGTGTGAGTTTTTTTTTTCTATATTTAATGATAAATGATATGCACCTGTTTGGTGCGGTTGATAAAAAATGTTTTTAAAATTTAAAAGCTTCAATTGCACTAAACACCCTTCTTAGTATGTATTTGGTAAAGCTGCTGAGAAGTGTTTCTTAGTTGTAGAATCGCAAGCTGTGTCAAACAGCCCCAGCACAGGAAAAGGTATTTTAGCTTTTGAGAAGGGAAAAATGGAGAAGCAAAGTACTCATGCTTTTCGATGAGCTTCTCCGCATCTTTAATGAAAATTATCATCTTCCTATTTTGCCCATCATTCTTTCACATATTTACAACTAAAACTGCTATATATACACCACGAATTGCAACAAATCCCTAACCCCACAACGTTACGAGCCCCTTCTCCTCTTGTCAAGAGATTGCAAATCGACAGATTGCAAATCGTCAGACAAAGAGATTGCAAATCCCCTGTTCCTGTGACTCAAACATGTTTTCATCATATGAAGTTGAGATCCTAAGAATAATTTGAGGTTTTTTTTTTTGTCCCTGGTTTTGGCTTTCGTGCAGAAGTGGAGGTTCCAAGCTGAAGCAAACGATGAGGCAGAAAGACTCCTTAGTTCACAACCTATGCCATCGACAGCAGAAGATATCAATATGAATGATCTGTAATTCATTTGATTCAAGTATAGCATGGTTTAACATCACTATCATATGGTCGTGGGGGATGACATGCTTTATTCAAAGCCGAGATTGGAGCATCTAATTATCCATCCTCTTGGAAGCAACTTAATTTTGGGTAGAAGAACTTTGGCAATGACTAAATTACCTTGGGATGCAATGCAATCTGTTTGCACAAACTGAAGAAACAGAGCTGCTCACAACAGCTGCACGCTTCTATCACACCTAATAGCTTTTTAACAACTAACTGAGTAACCCCTGAAACTCGTATATTCAGAAATAGCGTCAGTTATTTATGTCTGCAAACACATGAAATAATCTCCTTTACTTCCAGATTTTGCAATGTAAGGATGAACAGTCTCTTCTGATATTATTTATTTATTTATTATTATTATTATTTTGTCTTCCATATGACTATTTTTTGGATTCTTGTATATGTGTATATATATATAATATTTTTTGACACTGGCAATTACTATAAAATTTTTAAACTAGGTGGATGGAGAGCAGAAGGGGAAAAGGGGATAAAGGGAAGGATTCTCTTTGTCTGACGTATTTCTGGTATATTATTGAGGGACAGGTTTTTATTTTTATTTATTTTTAATTTTTTTTTTCTTGTTCGAGATTACTTGTAGACTTGGTTTTTGTAAGTGCTTTGTTTACTTGAGATTTTGGGACTATAGTGATTGCTTGTGTTAGTGAATTGATGCCTTCTTGACCATGACTTGTTTTGTCTTTTGGTAGGGGGAGGTTGGTTGCAAGAATTTGGGTTCAGGACTTGTGATTGTTGATTGGTTTCAATTTCATTCGATGGTTTGTTAGCCATTCATTCATGTCCTGACAATCTAGAGCTTGACTTGTGATTTTTATTTTGCAAATTGTATTCATCTAAAAGTGAAAAATTGACCAAAGGTGATCCTTTCCAAAGAAAAGACTCAGCAAGTTAATTATAGTGAACTTTAGATATATATATGTACCTATAATTATAGATATATATATATATATGTACTTAATGATAAATGATATGTGCTTGTTTAGTGCAGCTGGTGGAAAATGCTTTTAAAGTTCAAAAACTTAGCTGCACTAAATATCCTTCTTATTAGTGTGTGTTTGGTAAAGCTGTTGAGAAGTTCTTTTCAGTTGTACAATTAGAAGCTGCACCAAACAGCTCTAGCAGAAGAAAAGGTATTTTTAGCTTTTGAGAAGTGAAAAATGGAGAAGCAAGCAATACGTGCTTTTCGGTGAGCTTCTCCGCCTCTTTAATGAAAATTATCATCTTCCTATTTTGCCCATCACTCTTTCACATATTTACAACTAAAACTGCAATACAATAACACCACGAATTATAACTAATCCCACCACGAATACAATAACATCACTCTTTCACATATTTTGCCCCTTCTCCTCTTGTCAAGAGATTGCAAATCGACAGATTTGGGGGTGGTTGAAAAGGCATTCCAAATCGGTTGAAAAGGCATTCCAAATCGGTCGATCTACCTCCCCTTTTGCATCTTTGAAAATCCGAACAGGAGGAAGGAGACAACCTCCCCTCACTCCCCCTCCCTTATTATCTTCCCCATCCCTTCTCCTCCCTTTCTGTCCTACACCTCCAATCCAAACAGTATGTAAGAAATTCGATTGGAACAAGAACAGCACCAGCACTAGCAATGGGAAATCAGGGTTTGGAGATTGGGCCCGCTTGATTCTCTCTCTCTCCTTCTCTCTCTTTTTTTTTTTTTTGGTTTGATTCACTCAAATCTATATTTTTTTTCCTTTGTGCCAGGGTTTTGATTTCCAAATTGTAGTGGCAACCGTCGATGAGATGTGAAGGGATTGGAATTTGGTCAGGTCTGAGGTTTCTCACCTTTTTAATGTCAATTTAAGCAATATATTCTCTGCTTCTCTAAATTTTTTACTCTTATTTGTATGCTTTTCAGTATTCCATCTTCTAAACGGTAGCTTGATGCTAGTTTCCTCGGAATTCTATACAAGACAGTTATAAATTTCGATTTATACACAAGAGCTGGTATGCTAGTTTCCTCTTTGTCTGACGTATTTCTGGTCTATTATTGAGGGACAGGTTTTCGTTTTTTTTTTTTTTTAATTTTTTTTTCTTGTTCGAGATTACTTGTAGACTTGGTTTTTGTAAGTGCTTTGTTTACTTGAGATTTTGGGACTATAGTGATTGCTTGTGGTAGTGAATTGATGCCTTCTTGATCATGACTTGTTTTGTCTTTTGGTAGGGGGAGGTTGGTTGCAAGAATTTG